AGAGACGTCTAGACGTGCATAAATACAAAAAAAAAAAAATAAAACAAATAGCCATTTACATGTCATTATCAATGTATGTATAAGGATGCATGCACCTGATCTAACGTATGCGATTTACATAAATTCGAGTAATACTTCAAAAATGTCGATGTAACATAAATAATATAGAAGACCAACGTCTTTACAGTTGATTCAAACACAATCTTTACTGTTATAAAATATGTATTTGTTCAGCAGATATTTATAAATATATATATATGATATATGTATACAACACATATTTTCAATATATATCCTACAATACCCAAGTTCACTAAAAACATATATTTTCCTAGAGTATATTGATTTGTATTTTATACTGCTTTTATCGATGGTTCTCGGAAGTAACGCTCAAGGAAGTCTGGGCGTGCGGAAATGTGTTTTTCATATAATATTTGTAAATTATAGCCGGTATCCATCGATGTCTTTATTGTTTTTATTATTATATTTGTCTGACCTATACAGTTAAGTCTTGTTTTCTTTATAATGAAAATATTAATTTGGAGGTTTTCGCGTTCGACCGAGCTTTCCTACGTCAATCCAATGACTATTATATTTTATTTAAATTAAAATATATATTAATTTCCCTATCTATAGTGTGTTTTTTTATTTCATTATAGTGTAATACAAATCCTATGCGCTCCAGTTTTCAGATATCAGCTATAAGTTGGTGACCTTTCTTAAAACAGTATTTTTTACGAAAAATAAACCCTTTTCAATTAGTTAATAAGATCATACAAATGGTATAATTATATACGCAGCAGAAACAGTTACAATGAGGCTGGGACCCGATTGGGCACGATTGATCTTTTTCGTAACCCGATTGAGCACAGTTGCAATAAAAACAATAGGTACCAAAAAAGAACCCAAAAACCACACGATTGAGCACGAAAATGGGTGCGACGTTGCCGCTTTGTACCGTAGAATATTATTCGGTGCACCGTATTACTGTGCGTGCAAGATTTTTTTGTAATTCAATTTTAGATTTATAACGATTATTTCATAATTTAAAATTTTTACGGCTCAGGTTTCCTAAAAAAAATAAGTCTCCAATAGAAAAACGATGAGACACCTTTTTTTCGCATTTTTTATATTGTTAGTGTATAGATCCTAGTGCATCCACATTATTATTACAAAATGAAATACGCGGCGCGTGGCGCGGCATTGCGCGGTGCAACAAACGCGCCGTGGGATTGGTGGGGCGCGGCGCGGCTCGTGTAAGCGCG